AGAATACATACTTTTATTCTGATACCACCTGGACCTAGACTGACTTGACACACTTGTTGTGTGGAATGCGCAGGCCCACTTTGCTGTAATGAAACGAGCGCAGAGATTTGCTCTGGAGACTGCGGTTTGAATCCTGGTTCTGCTGCATTTTATTTCTCCAAGGCCTTCACCTGTAGCCCCAGATCCTCTCGAGGGCTCTCTGCCTCAGTGGTCTGTTTATCCTGAAAGGGGGAGAGACTGTGGTGGAGCCATACCGGTGTGGCCCCCCATGTCCACTGGCTTTACGTCCAAGACCATAAAGCAGAGGTGTTTGGGGTTCGCCCATTTCAAGCTCATCATTGATCCGTATTAGATCAGTGAGACCTATGTAAGAAATGCCCACAGCTCTCTAGTGGTCACTGAGGAAGAACGCTTGGTCCTTGTCCGCAGAGCTGTCACTCAGACTAATGAGAAAGATAAAGGCCAAGGAGATAAGGGCAGAGACAAGTAGATAAGATAGTGGGAGCACAGTAAGGGGGAGGAGAGATTTTTCTGGAGTTGATGTTAGGGACGCTGTGGGAGCCTGTGGGCAGAGAAGGGGGGCACTCAGGGTGAAGGCCACTAGGTCTTCAGGAGCCAGCTTGTGGGGGGTGCATGGTGTGACTGCAGATAGGGGCCGAGTGGTGGAGGGTCTGGAGTCTCCCATTAAGAGGGTGGACTTGTATTCAGTAGACAATGCAGGAAGTATTAAATTGCCTATTTTTGAAAGGGGAATAAATGCCACTGTGTTTCCGGAGCCAACTTCGGCCCCTCCCGCCACAGGGTCAACCGGATGGTGGTGGTGGGGCCACCAGGAGTCTGCGATAGGGGCTGAACTGGGAGGAGTGGGTCCGGAATGAAAATGACATGCGAGAGCCTTGAGGGGACAGGGAAGCAGAGGGTGCGTGAAGACTGAGGAAGACAGACAAACGCTCCCGGGACTCTTCCCAGCCTGGATCATTAAGAAAATGGTGGAAGTTATTAGAAGCCAGGAGGAGGGGCTGGTTTGTGGAGTTCGGGGTTTGGGAGCATCTGGGTGACGTTATTCAGTTGGACAGTCGGAGGGGTGAGCTAGCCTCCCCAAACGGTCAGGACTGGAGGCCCAGGTTTGGTGATGCCCCCAGAGGTGACACCGGTGCGGTGGGGGCGGAAGAGAGAAGCGCGGAGGACGAGCCGTAGGGCCCTCGGGCGAGGGCAAGGGAAGACCTGCTGAAGGACACGGAGCCCCGGGCTGAGGACGGGCCGGGGTATCAGGGCGAGCGTGCTCGGGCTGACTGGGAACGTGGAGATTCGGTGACCCATCTCTCCTCTAGCCGCCTTCACGGTGGGGAGACGGAGCCGAGGGAGAGGCACTGATTGCAGCCTCAGGGCCAGGCTGGCAGGTCCTACATCAACGCGAATTAGGAACTTCCAGCCTACTCCTCTTTCCACAGCCCACGCTGTCTTTTACACCTCCCGCCCCCAACACACAACGCATTTATTTAAAAAAAAAAAAAAATTCAGCCCTCAAAGACCCGGAACGCCGAGGCCGGGGGCTCCAGCAGGTATTTATCTGCCTTAGGCCTGGGTAGGGGAGGGCCGTGCCGGGGTGGGGGAGGCCCCGCTGGGCCGGTGTGCGAGCCCCGCGCCCCCGGGAGCGCGCGCTGCGCCGGCCCGCCCTCCGTCCCCGGTACGCGTCCCCGCCCGGCCCAGCCCCGGAGCGCGTGCCCCCGCCGCCCCCCCCCCGCGCG